TAAGAGAATAGGACACCCACAAAGCTTCAAAAAAAAAAGCCACTAAAAAAGTCAGAAAATAGCGTGAAATAGAGCGGTTCGGTTATTCAGCAGAGGGGATCTGGTAACAAGGGCAGGGTGGGCAGAGGAATCCCTGAATCTGTAGTGTCTGTAGTATTTAACAGTTTCACGGTGTCCATACTCATTCCAAACCACCCAACCAATGCCACCAAGCAAGGGTGTGGGAGGAGCTGAGCACCGTGGAGGGGCCTGTTGATAGTGGCAGAGCTGGTATAGTAATGGTGGTTAGGACTTTAGGAAGAAGAGACTCAAGCTAGTCCAGGGAAAGGAAACCCTCCTACTTCATGAGCTATGATTTAGGTTTCAAAGTCCAGGTCGAAAGGGGAGGTCTCTGTGAGGCTTCTCTGTGGCTTTTCTTAAAGTGATCACTTCTAATCTGAATGCCAAAGTATGTATTAATACCTTCCATGGAAGCGATTGTCAAAGCCCCACTTGATATCATCACTCAGGTTGGTCCCTTCAGGATTGTCCTCAGAAGGGACTCATGTCTTACTCTTTTACTGTCAAAGAGTTGGGAGACCATTCATGAGAGGAGCTCAACCTTGGAGTCACACTGCTTGGCTTCAAGTCCTGACTTTGCACACAACACTCATTTCTCCTGTATTCTATCTTAGAAGCCAGCCAATCCTTTTATAGACGGAGGTACCAATGAGGAGACTATCTCATAGGTTAGCTGCGATGATGAATGAGGTTATTAGACTATCAGATGGGCTCAAAGCCCGACACCTTTCCGCCCCCAATCAGCATCATGTGGTCCTGCTGTCTATTAGCATGTGACCCAGTGTCTGCAACATACTGTTGTGTAATTATCGGTGAATTGAACTGACATGAAACAGAGACGTGATCCTGCTGGTCTTGGAAAGGGTGTGCGAGAGGATTCCGTGAACAACTTATTGTTGGGGAAGTAAGAATGGCGTATTAGACAAAAAGCAAGGAGAACACAGAATTGCAGGATGAGAACTGAGTTCCCCTGCTGGGGTGTTGTGAACACAGAGGGGAGTCATCCGCACCCTCTCTTCACCCCATGTGCTAGACACTGTACATCTATAAATACATCGTCTGCTATTACAATAGCTTTCACAGACTGCCATTGATTGAAATATCCTCTTTTCAGAACAGTTGCTTTTGAAAAAAAAAAACTTGAATGCTAGAGTTTCAGAATAAATAACACTGTGTTTTATTCCATTTGAGTCAATCCATCATTCCAATTAATTTGCATCTCTTCCAAACTTGATTCAGCAATTTATATCATTTGTCCTCACCAGGTTATTATTATCTGCAATTTCTTGAGCACAACTTCAGTTTTGTTCTCTTAAACACTATATAGGGCACTTCTAAGAGCAGAGTCCCCTGACATGCCACTAAAGACCTCTCTGTGTGTTGCCGTTGACTCATTAAACAATCTTTTCTTTTCTTTTGGGTTATAGTTTTTTAAACTTTTTCTCAATCTGTCAAAGTTTGCGGTAATCCATGTTGTAGTTCATCTTGTTCACAAAATGTCAGGGGAAACTTAGCCAAAACTCTCTCTCCACAGCATCCTCTTCCACAGATATAGTAATTCTATTAGCAAAGAAATCACCACCGTTTTCTTACAGTCTGACCCTGGCTGGCCTATGTTGAGCATCCCTAAATCAAATGAATTCCTTTTCTGAGATTCATGATCCATGGCACTGAAATTTATTAAATAGACATAGGCTGGGCTGACACACAGGATTTGAACATGCAGGTGAGACATTTGGGCACAATGCTAAGGACAGGGAGAAGTCGTTGATATATTTGAATGGGCATTGTACGACAAAGTCATGAGGTGTGTGTGTGTATGTGTGTGTGTGTGTGTGTGTCTGTCTGTCTATTGTGTTTTTTATGTTGGTGTGTGCACATGTGTATATATATGTACGGAGGCTGTAAGAGGACAGTGGGTGCTTTCCTTATTTGCTTTCCACCTTATTTTGGAGGCAGGCTCTTTTACGGTATCTGAAGCTCTCCAATTAGTCTAGGCTGTCTTGCCAGTGAACCCTAAGGATCTACCTCTTTCTGCTTCCCCAGAGCTGGGGTTGCAGATGCATGTTGGGGATTTGAACTCAGGTCTTCATGTTTGTGCTGAAAGGCATTCTGCAGCTAATCTAATCTACAATGTTCCAAGTAGTGGTTTAAGAAAATCATCTGGAAGCAGCATCCTCAGGGAGGACACCATATGAGCTCAGAAGTCCTGCAGGAGTTACAAGGCGAGACGTCTTAGTATAGGCTAGTTGTGATAAAGACATAAGAATGATGATAGGACTTAAAAATAAATAAATAAAAATAGGCACTTTAAGGCTTTTCAACCATTCCCACATAATCAAGCACACATAAAATAATATTACTTTGACTCTGGAGTAAATAGTCTTTCTTGGGAATGGATGTGATTCAGTGGGCCTTCAGGGATACATCTTCTCTCTCCAAGGCTCTCCAAGTGTCTGGGAGGTCATTTGGAGACAGCCTTAGCACCACGAGGTGACCAGATCTGCAGCAAGATCAGTAGTTTATTGAAGAGCAAACAGTCTCCACCTTAGGACAGTTTGTGATTTTCAAGCTTGTGAGGACCTGAAATGATTTTTCATTCTTCATTCAAAAGAAGCCATGTTCTATTTTATTTTACTTATCTTCTCTATGTGTACAGGTGTGTATGTGAGTGTGTGTGTGTATCTTCTCTATGTGTGCAAGTGTGTGTGTGTATCTTCTCTGTGTGTGCAGGTGTGTGTGTGCGTCTGTGTGTGTAACTGTGTTTGGGGATGGGTTATGAATGCTAGAGGTCAATCTTGCCTGGTGTTCCTCAAGGGATGTCCACCTTGTACTCTGAGACAAGATCTCTCACTGGGAACTGGAGCTCACTGATTATGCTCAGCTATCTGGCCAACAAATCCCTAAGATTCTCCTTTCGTTTTCTTCCCAGCTTTCAAACAATGAGTGCATGACACCGTACCTGGCATTTAGGGAAGTGCTGAATAAGCACTTTTCCAATCAGCTGTGCCATCTCCCTGGACCTGTTTTGCTGAGTGTGCAATATATTTTCAAGTTATGATGGGCTTATTAGGTCATAATCCCATCAGAGGTCATGGTACATCTGTACACGTAAAGGAAAGAAAGCATTGGGTTCAACGCTTAATTCTGAATCTAGAAGCAAAATAGCTTGGGAAGAAAAATCAAAATAACTAGCACCAGAGTTAATGCCAGAAAAAAAAATCCCGTAATTGCCAAACAAGATCATCTAGGACACAAAATCAGTACCCATGTTATAAAAGATGTAATGAAAAGGCAAGGTGGTGGCTATGCAGACCTAATTGTTAGTGGGAGTAGAGTGAGCTGCTTTGTGGGATGAGCTAGAGGAAGGAACCAACCACCCTTAAGTGAGACAAAAGCAGGGAGTCTGAGTTGGTAATAGTATAGGAGTCCATGCCTGTTGGCTGAGGTTTCTGTCCCGCCCAGTCCCACAGTCCTCCAGTCCCAAAGAAACACACAGAGGTCTACATTAATCATAAACTGATTGGCCTATTAGCTCAGGCTTCTTATTAACTCTTTCTTACAACTTATATTAGCCCATTATTCTGTGTTAGCCATATGACTTGGTACCTTTCATCAGCAAAGCATTCTCATCTTGCTTCCTCTCTGTCTCAGTGACAACTGCAGATTGTGTCTTTCTTCTTCCCAGAATGCTCCTGTCCTCGTCGTACTGCCTCTACTTCCTGCCTGGCTACTGACCAATCAGCATTTTATTAAAAATAATACAAGTAACAGTATAAAAGACCTTTGTCCCACAGCGCGTGCCTGTGTGTTTGAAAGTGAAATTAGTCTGTGGCTGCACTGCTTCTTACTCACATATGTAACTTCATAAACTAGATATTCTCCTGGGCTTGGTACTTCACCTGGATCACCCTAACTACATGAAAAAAACCATAGAGTGTAAAGATCCCTTATTTCCTCGTGACAACTGAAGATGCTTAGTTATTTGAAAATTAAAATTATTTATTTCCCCCCTTTAAACTCCTTGATACCATGACAACAAGAACTCAACAACAAAACTGTATGGATTCTACATAAAATCATGGATGAAGGCCTCTGCCACAAGGCAAATGAGCCCTCCCATTTCTCATGACAACTGACAGCAGTTCTGCCATGTATGATCCAGGGAATGCACACACGGCAACTGACTACAGGTCTGCCATATGTGATCCAGGGAATGCACATATGGCACACTTTCCACAGCAGAGTTATGATGATGACTTTCCCATCTTGGGCGACATAGTTTTTGTGGCCCCAATGACTGCTCACAGAGAGACCCATCTCTTTCGTCCCAGGCTGTCATCTTTGTCCAGCAGGTGCAGCCCTGCCTTGACACATGCAGTTGTCGCCAGCCCAACCACACGCCCTTCTCCAAGCAAGTAGCATCGGTATCCCTTCATCACAACATAACCTTGTTCTAAATCAGAGATTCATAGTTCTCTGAACAGTTCCCCAGTGAACTTCGGGTCCGACTCAGTACATCTGACTAGCTCATTAGCTAAAGGCACTCTCTCTCCTTATACTCTTTCCTAATACTCAGTGCTGATCTCAGGATTATGTTTATTATTATAGCTGAGTAAAACAAACAAACCAACCAACCCCACAGCTGTGTGACCCAGGAAAGCCAAGAATTTCACAGCTCTTGATACTGGAGTGATGGGGTTTGGGAGGGTGCTCAGACCATTGCAAGTCCTAATTCAATACTGAGCGAGAGGGAATTGAATTAAATGATTACAGTCATTTCATTTTCAACATCTGTCTTGGGAAGTATTCTCCCACCATGTGCTATGCTGGTATCGGTTTGCAGTTGTTTAACCATCTCTGAGACGATTCAGAGAAGACTGGGAGAGGCGATGGACGGTGGTTGATGGTGACTGAGTCCTGCCTTCATCTCTGTGCAGGTGGGGAAGTGGAAAGACAAGTCCCTGCAGATGAAATATTACGTGTGGCCTCGAATGTGTCCCGAAACCGAGGAGCAGGAGGATGACCATCTGAGCATTGTGACCTTGGAGGAGGCGCCCTTTGTTATCGTAGAGAGTGTGGACCCTCTCAGCGGAACCTGCATGAGGAACACGGTCCCCTGCCAGAAGCGCATCATCTCTGAGTATGGCACCTCCCCAGATGGATGGTTATGGGTGGCCCGGGAGAGAGTTAGCTGTGCTGTTTGCTGACATGGAGTTAGGCACCCTGGAAAATTCTCAGCTGCCAAGAGGCTGTAGGATCAGTGGGGGCTTTGGTTAGATGTGTGGCTCCATCTAAAACCCTGACCTGAGACAAAGACTGCTCTGTTTAGGTTCCTTTGACTGTTCAAGTCTACTGATTTTAAAGTTTCTTTGAGTGTGGCATTTTGATAATTGAATCTATTTTTTTGAAACAATTCCACTTGATTTATGCTGTTAAAAGTTGGGGTTACAATGCCCTTAGTTGGGGGGCGGGGACAAGCACCTTGAGGGGACAACTGCAGAGTCTCCCAGCATCTGATAGGCATTTGTACCTGAATTCAGGTTTTCATAGAAACCGTGAACTCAATGAGGAACTCATTAAGCTGAGTCTGTAGGATACATGCCTTTCCTTCATCTATGTTATACTTCAAAAGAACCTTGAAACTTGTACCACAATATGGCTCAGGATACTGAGACAAAAAAAGTACCACAGCTCTAGCCCTGATCTCTTTCCTTACTCAAGAATAAACTGTACTGTGGGGGTGGAGGTGGAGGTTGGAGTTTTAATGAAAAAGTAATTTTTCCTTCTTGCACAAAGTCTTGCTTTGTTTGTTTCTTCCTGTAACCGGGTAGGAATAAAACAGATGAAGAGCCAGGCTACATCAAAAAATGCTGCAAGGGCTTCTGTATTGATATCCTGAAGAAAATTTCTAAGTCTGTGAAGTTCACCTATGACCTTTACCTGGTGACCAATGGCAAGCATGGGAAGAAGATCAACGGGACCTGGAATGGCATGATTGGTGAGGTCAGTATCAGGAGGCAAGGTCATGACAAAATCATTTCCACTGTGCACATACGTTTTGCTTAAATATTGTTAAAGGTTTATCTTAAGACTTTAACACCATGTGGAATAGTAATGAGAGAGAAGGGGAAACAGTTCAACTGGAAATGTACTAGCCTCATAATCATGAGGACCCAAGCGTGATCCCCAGAACCAAAATAAAATTTCAAGGACAGTGATGTGTGTTTTATAATCCCAGTGCTGGGAAGGATTTCTGGGGCTGGTGGCCACCCAGTCCGGCCAAATTGGTGAGCCCTGGGCCAACAACAGACCCACAGAGGAGGTGAATAGTATTCTAGGGATGGTGCCCAAGTTACTGCTGAGCCATGGAAATTTTGCTTATGGTAGACCTGCCTTCAGTAATGTTCTGATCGGAGCATTATGCCTTTTGCTTCAGGTGGTCATGAAGAGGGCCTACATGGCAGTGGGGTCACTAACTATCAATGAAGAGCGATCAGAGGTGGTCGACTTCTCCGTGCCCTTCATAGAGACCGGCATCAGTGTCATGGTATCGCGCAGCAATGGGACCGTGTCACCTTCTGCCTTCTTAGGTAAATCCCATGGTTATTGATGACAGGAAATGAACTCAAGGACAAGTGTTTGGAAGGAGAAACAATTTCAGGACATGGTTTTTCGAGAGTTTAATTCAGACAGGGAATTCTTTTGGGACACTTGGTTATTCTTAAACACAAAAATTAAAGACATATAGAAATCAGGGAGGTGTGTTGCCCTACAAGAAAACACTATGAGAACGGTCATCACAAGTCCCAAAAGGGGTCATCACAAGACCCCTTTTTATCACTTAGTGCTCATTTGATCTTGAGAAAATTTGTTCCAACCTAGGACTCCATTTTCCTCATCCACAGAATAGGGCATCTCAATTAGTTGACCTCTAAGACTTCATTCTGCAACAATATTTCTAAGTCTAGGTATCTTTTGTCTTAGTTACTAGTCTATTGGTATGGAAAGATACCATGACCAAGGCTACTCATATAAAAGAAAGTCTTTGATTGAGGTCTTTCTTACAGACTCAGAGAGTCCAATATCATCATGGCAGAAAACAGACAGGCATGGCGCTGGAGCAACAGCTGAGAGCTTTACATCCTGATCCATAGGTCGCAGGTATAGAAAGAGAGAGGAACTGGGCCTGGAATGGGCTTTTGAAACTTTAAAGCCCACTCCTAGGGACAGACTTCCTCCAACAAGGCCACATTTCTTAATCCTTTTCAAACAGTTTACCAACTGGGGACTAAGCCGGAAATACATGGAGCCATTCTCATTCACACCCCAGCTTCATTGAAAGATCTATTTGTTTTTTAATTATCTTAAAAATTGAGCTTAGGGCTAACACTCCTATAAACACACAAACATTCTCTGTTGTCACGTGCGTTTTCTGAGACTTTCCTGGCCAGGGTTCATCTGATGCTTCTTCCTACCCGTTTCTCGCCTTCTTCTCCAATACCATTCTCTGCTTGCCCACTCTCTAGCACCTCTCAGATGTAAAAAGCTTTAGATATGATTTGAGAATGGGTGAGATAAGGCAACAACTTCAATTAAATGAGGTCTTTTGTGAGCTCATAATATATATAACGGAGCCAGAGTTTAGAAAGTAAAATATCATCTTGGAATCAGAGCAGAACATTGAGCTAGGAGACATGCAGCCCCATATCGTCATAAAAAAGCTATAATTCTTTAGACTAGTCATAATCTCTATAAGGGGAGGAACGTTTTTAAAATAGGAATATTAGAAGAGACGGTGACTAGCCTTTACTTAAATTCTGTCTGTGAGGGATTAATTCAGTTAATGTACCACTAAATGGAATTATAGATTCTATAAAACTTTTTTGTAAGTGCCTTAAGTTTCTTAGCCAATCTTTTTATCCACGATAAAGCATTTTCCAGGAGTTCTTCGATAAAGCCCAGGCATGGTAGTCATCAGAGCCTATGTCCTAGTCCACTCCACAACCTGGGACAACTGTGGTGGACAGACACTCATATGCAGCATAATATTGTGAGGAATTCTGGACAGTGTTTCAGGGCACCCTCAATTCGTAACCCGACTGCCACTTTCTGAGCATGAATGCAGAAGGAATCTGGCCCTCTCACACTTCGTTTACTGTGAAATAAACAGAGCCACCCGGTAATGAAAAGCCCATGGGAAGGATTATAAACACTGGTACACAGGGGAAGTCCTTTATAAAGTCCTTTTGTAAAGATCGATGAAGATGTTGGGTACACTGTTTGCAGAAAGTTGCCCCTACACTAGATAAGGCAGGAGTGGGAGGGGGCAGGAATCACAGGTGTGGAGCATTCATTATGTTCTCGGCCAATCATAGATCAGCATGAAACCAGTTATAGCCAAGGGTGGAGGAGGTTTTCCCCGCACCAGATGAAGCCGACTCAAATGTACCGTGTAGGTTTGAACCCTGCTGCCACTGAAAGCGTTGCTTTTCCACAGCGGTGCGTGAAGTTCTGGGGCTTTCTTAAGGGTATTTTTAAATTGATTAAGTGACCAGGCTTTTATAATCCCATTGGAAGTTCAATAATAAAGTAAGTTTCAGAATGGGAAATATATTTTCTAATTTTCAGCCAACTTCCTCCCTTTCAACTTCATCTTTATTAATAACTTGGAAGAAGGGGGAAACAGCCTGTTAATTCACTGATTATGAGTTTACAAAGTGATGTGACAGCTAAAAAGGCCAGAACTATTTTGGGACACCATTGAGAGGCACTGTATCGCAGGACGGAATTTCTATCATTCTTCTGTGTCTGCGGCATCATGGAGATGGCTTATTGGAAGATAGTGATCAGCTTATGCATCCCTCTAAACCAGAGAGATTTAGCTCAAATGGAATAAATCTAGCAAACATGATGAAAGATACTTAAAAACCATTCATAGAACCATCTTGTTCTCTTGCCTAGCCTTAGCCCCTTGCTTAGTCGTAAGAATCAGATTGTAGCTGCTTTGGGATTCCCTAACCATGCCTGTCCCCTTGCTACATGGAAGTGTCTGCTACTGCAGAGACTGAGAGTCAGTGTAGATAGGTTTTTTAAAACTGATTAACTTATACTCTCATATCTTCATGATATCTAGTATGACTATACCACAACACAGTAGACTGGAAAAGGAACCGTAGGCTGGGCACTGAGAGAAGTGTGTGGACACAAAAGTGAAGGGGCATGGTTATTCATTGTATGGCAGGATTGCCAAACCAATTCAGCTCTAAGATAGAACCTACATTTGTCAAGAATTTGTCCACAAGGCTCACAAGCCCTGGGGAAGGCTTCCTTCTTGGTATGGTCATGGGAGCGAGGACATAAAGCAAGTCAGTTTGATATCATTTCCTTGTGTTATGTCCACCTCTTCCAATTGCACCATTCCTTGAGAGATCCAAATATGGTTCTGAGAGAGATAGAAATTTCCCCAATAAACCAAGAAAGGCTCACAAGCAAGATGGTGGTCTTTTATGTATTTGAAAAAAACGATCTTGCAGGGCGGTGGTGGCACACGCCTTTAATCCCAGCACTCGGGAGGCAGAAGCAGGTGGATCTCTGTGAGTTCAAGGCCAGCCTGGTCTACAAGAGCTAGTTCTAGGACAGGCCTCAAAGCTACAGAGAAACCATGTCTCAGAAAAAAACAAAAACAAAAACAAAAACAAACGATTCTTTACATGCCCAGGAATATAAGGGGCCGCGCAAGCATATCTTATGTCTTCCAAATTCAACCCTGGCTCTCCGAGGGCACACCGCACACTTGTGGCTTGCTCCTTTCAAAACAGGTGTTCGCATGAACAGATGATTATGAAGCTAAGGAGCTGCTTGTTCTCTTCTTTGACCCTGAGCACTGTTTTGCTTCCCTTCCCAGAGCCGTTCAGCGCTGACGTGTGGGTGATGATGTTTGTGATGCTGCTCATTGTCTCGGCCGTGGCTGTCTTTGTCTTCGAATACTTCAGCCCTGTGGGTTACAACAGGTGCCTAGCTGATGGCAGAGGTAAGGCTGCCCGGAACTCCTGCACCTCGGCCTTTTCCCCGCCCCCACGCACAACTCGGAATCATTATATCCATCCTTTGTTACCTGTGATCTCCCTACTTTCTGTGAGGTTGGGGACCGTTAGCATGTCGGTGTAGCAATGTTTAAGAAGAAAGATTGGTAATGGAGATGCTTGTGTCTGGACACTCTTTCTAAAGTATAGGTTATTGGCAATTTATTGGGAGAAATATGAGGGAAAAGGCAGACTATACGCACAAGTAAGAATAAGAAAAATTAGACTGTGCAGAGGGTATACGAAAATTCTTGTGGTCACTGGAGCTTCCCATAGTTGAAGGGTTACTACTGAGTTACAGGGTCTCTACATCCTATGTCTTTGGCCCATACAGAGGTTGTGGAGATCCTGTAACTCAGGAGTACTTCCCAGGAGTATAGAAATAGCATGCTTGAAATAAAAAGGACACGGAAGGCCAGTTCTCACTTGTAGCTCCTATAGCATGGATCTCATTTCCTGAGCAGATAGGCGTCAGCATGGGGAAACTGACCTTGTGTTTGAAGCACTTTTGATATTTTTGAAAACTTCATCAAACTTCTGAAGGAGTTCTGAGAATCTGGTAAATAGCTCCTTCAGAACTTCATAAAAGCCCCAGGATTAAGAACTGTGCCGCTTCTTCTAAACCTTTTCCTTTTAGAATTCTAGTTATTCTGGAATATACCTTCAAGAGGACAGCTCCTTAATCTTAGGTACTAATAAGAATTGCATAACTGGCACTTTAAAGACAAAGGTGCCTGGACCTAGTTTCTGATTTACTAAACCCAGTTTGAAGCTTAGACCCTGTATGTTTCAAAATAGTGATTATTTACCTTGGTCTTGCTAGAATAACCAGATTCACCTTGTATCTGTTTAATAATAACCTCTAGGGTGGTCACCTGGCAACAGTGTTTGATAAACATGCCATTCATGCTTGGGTAAGACTCACAGTCCAATCTTGAGAGCTATTTGCTTTACCAGTGGACTTTCAAGTGCTGACCTACCTTATATTTTGTATGTTCTGAGGTGGACTTCTACATGTCTTTTTAACATGGTATGGTCATTGACTCCCCCACCCCATGCGAAAGGCTCACTGGAAGCAGTGACCTATTTTCCAACCTGAGAGGTTCTAGTGAGTGAACCCTCTGAGGATCCCCGAAGTGTAGACAAAGGTCAGCACTGTTAAAGGCCAAAGACAGAGTATACTGCCCTCTCACCCAGAATACGGAAATTCACGTCTCCCAACTCCGTACCAGAACTCACGATTGCTCATGTTGCATTAGGGTCCTTCTCTTTACAGAGGAGGAACCCAGCACTGTTCCACCCAAGTCTCCTTAGGGCACTGCACAGTTTGCAAAAGTCTGCTTTGTGAACAACTTTCTCCTTACACATTTATTGTATGACGTCAAGTCCACACGCACAGATGTACGTGCACAGATAGACATCAAGTTCAACATGGCAGCCTCTGATGACGTAGCGGGCTGAGCACATGCTGTCAGCATCGCAGGCAGTATTCCAAGACCTTTGTCGATCTGTCAGAAAACTCTGTGGGCAGACATTCGTTTCTGCAGTAGAAGTGTGGACAAAGATTCAGGTAACACGCAAGGTCTCTCCCTCACCAAGCAGGGACAGCAGGCAAGTCACTGATCTCTTATGGGCAGAAGCCCTAAGGTCATGTGGACGGACATCTGTCAAGGACAACCATGTTTTTGCTCTAGATGTACATGGCCAGGATAAGAGTCAGTGGTCTGTTATCTGGGTTTCCTTGTACAGAAGCTGGGGCTGCATTAGACCACTTGGTAAGGGTTGGCATTGAAGGGGTCAGGAGAATCAAGGTCATTTTAAAGACAGCTGCTAAGAGCTAGAAACTAAAGAAAACGTAACTAAAAGTACATCCAGTCATCCAGCACTGGTGAGACTCAACAAGAAGGTTTATGGCAATAGAAAGAAAAGGCCTCACAAAATTCTTGCTAATGTCTTGGAAGTTAAAATACTTCCTTGATAGATACAACGATAAATTTTAAGAAAAATGGTCAATGTGACCATATTGGGATAGTTGATCATTGTTACCCAACTTGCACCTAAAAGATCTTGATGCTCTAATATATGAAGGTAGAAAGAATTTTAGTTGGAAAAAGCTCTCCACACACCCTAGCACTCTGAATTTGCTTCTAAGAAACCCTCTTCTGCCTTCCTAAGGCTCCCAGGAGAGGTATATGCTCTTGAATTGTAAAGCTGTCATTAGAGGGGTCCTGCTCTTGCCAGGAACTTTCCAACTCTGGGTACTTGTAAATTGAAATAGACTCAATGATTCAGGCTTAAATGTTTCTCCCTGTCTTTTGTATCACACTAGAGCCAGGCGGCCCATCTTTCACCATTGGCAAAGCAATTTGGTTACTCTGGGGTCTGGTGTTCAACAACTCCGTCCCTGTGCAGAACCCAAAGGGGACCACATCCAAGATCATGGTGTCAGTGTGGGCCTTCTTTGCTGTCATTTTCCTGGCCAGCTACACTGCCAACTTAGCAGCCTTCATGATCCAAGAGGAGTATGTGGACCAGGTTTCTGGCCTGAGCGACAAGAAGGTAAGAGACCCATTTCAGACTTGCGTCTTTCTCTAGCTTGTCCTGAACCCCACTCAACATTCTCATGAACCTGGTAATTTTCTAAATGTTTAGAATCAACAGCGTTTTCTTCAATTGGGACATGGGCATAGAAGCTGGATTCCCTACTGAATTAATACTCCTTCACGCTTGCCTTCTGATTCGTAAAGGGCTACCACAAGGGCGCCCTGGGCTGCAAAATAAGGGGCTTGGTATGCTAGCAGGTTCTCTGAGTACATAGCTGCTCTTGTTGGATACAGTCGGGTGGCCTCTCAGCTCAGGGCTGCCTGTTCGCTGTGTTATTAGAGGGCTGCCCCTGTGTACCCACACTGGGGATACCAGAGCTTTACATCTCGTTTTCTTCCCGATGGTGGTGGGCTGTGGGCTCTCCCTTTGTTCCTCTGTACACTCACGTGTTCCTAGGACTGAGCAGGAGGGCTGTTCACATTGTATCTGGAAGAGAGGTGCTATTTAATGCATGATTGTCCCTGTGTGGCGCAGATGAGTGGGTTGCCCCCATACCAGTCGCCGCCCTCCCCACCTACCTGGCAGTGGGGAGAGGAAGGGAGGTATCTGCTAGTTTCCATCTTTCCTAGCTGAGGGGTACAAAAAGAAGAAAAAAACCCTGCTCTAGATGCATGGGATCATGTAGGTCAGCCTGAAGCACGCCAGTTTCCATGGGAGGTTTGTCCCCTAGAAATGCAACAACCATGACAGTCTGAGACTAGAGAGGCTGTGTTTGCAGAGTGTCTGGGGAAGTTCAAAACCAAAGCATTTTTGTGTTCTTTCGCGAGCCAACCGCTTTCCTCTTCTTGGATTCTTTAACATTTTGAAAGCGTCACTTTCCGTTCGCACTGGCAGGATGAAGCCTGAGATCAAGGCAGGTGTTTTCAGGTTGCGGGATGATGCTTTGCTTTGTCACATGGCTGGAGGTCCTTGTGAGAAGGGCTCAGGGGACAGTTCCTCCATCCACTCCTCTCCATTCACCCAGAATTCTCAGAAGTGTATGAGAGCGAGGGACAGTTCCTTGGCAGAATTGTATGGTGTCTTTTGTGCGCTATGCATGTCTGTATGTGAGTATGTGTGCATATGTGTGTTTATGTGAGTGTCTGTGTGTGAAATAGACAAATATACTATATTCACTCAATATGCGACATATTGCATGTTTTTAGTTTATCTGATTTGTCTTTCTTTTTGCTTTATTTTTCTTTAAATTGTTAGATTATTTTTTTATTTTTATTTAAACAACGTTTTCTCCATTTTGTATATCCTTTTTCCTTCTTAAAGCATCACGTATTGCTCTAACTCACAATTTATGATACATTTATTGACATATTCATCCATTTATTACCTGCTTCATTTTTAGACTGAAGCTTCTCTTGCCTATGATTCTATCAGCAGCGTCCATTGTCATGTCTTGGTTAGGCTTTCTATTACTGCAATGAAACACCATAAAACAAGTCGGGGAGGAAAGGGTTTATTCAGCTTATACTTCTACACTGTTCATCATCAAACATCAGCGGAGAGTCAGGCTAAGAATTCAAGCAGGGCAGGAGCCTGGAGGCAGGAGTTGATGCAGAAGCCTTGGAGGGAGGCTGCTTACTGGCTTGCTTAACCTGCCTTGCTTAGCTTGCTTTCTTACAGAACCCAAGACCACCAGCCCAGGGATGGCACCACCCACCATGGGCTGGGCCCTCCTCATTCATCACTAATTGAGAAAATGCCTTACAGCTGGATCTCAGAGAGGTATTTCCTCAACTGAGGCTTGTTCCTCTCTGATGACTCTATCTTGTGTCAAGTTGACACAAAACCAGTCAGTAGAGTCATTATGGAACTAACTGAATTTAAGTTAGACAGGTTTCATCCCTCCTTGCTTCCAACCTCCATCACGGGCCTTCACTTGGACTTGATCTAGATCAGGTTGGCCATACCTACCAAAAGTCATGTATGTGCCAGACTCTCTCAGGGCTCTGCTGCCATGTGTCAGACATATGGCTCTCTGCCAGTGTCACCAGCATGTGGCCAAATCATGGGAACATGTCATCTTGCATTGATTTGGAAAAGGTGTAATGGATTAAACTCCCAAGCATAAATTGTCCATGTCTAACACGTTCATTTTCACTATGCATCACCATGACAACAGAGTGGTGGAGCACAGCCCTTTTGGAGACTGTCAGTTAACATGTGACGATAATCTACCATATTTGTCTTATTGTTTTCTTCAGATATCCTGAAAATAGCTCCCAACACTTTATTTATCTCTCTAATACCTTAATTTCGCCCAGCAACAACTTGGAATGAGTTTCTATTTGAACCAAAAATAGTTGACATGGTGGGTGGGGAGTCTCTTTCCCTTATGACCACCTTAGGCTACTGAAAGCAAAGACAACATGTGTCTGTCATGCTGTTTGTATTCTAAGAAGTTGGACCGTATCAGTTTTTTTACATAAAATTAATGCAGCTGCTTGATTTCCCCCCTAATGTAGCTTCCATGCCCTTTGTTAGTGACTGACAGTTCTCCAGTATCTCTGGACACTGCTTGCATCCTGCGTCATAGGCATCCTTAACTCTTCATCATTCTTGACCACAGCTTCATCCAGGCACCTGCCTCGAGCCTTTCCTTCCCGAGTTTTAAGTTACTAAACCCCTACTTAAACCAGACTCAGATCAGAGATCCTTTCCCTGTAGGGCTCTCCTAGGTTCATCCGGGCAACTCAACACTCTCCCTCTTCACGACAATTATTCAGGCCTTTATTATAAGAAATTTCCATATTCTGTATGGTAATCTGAAGACTTGTATGGAATAGTATTTCTCTTTGACTGCGAATCCTACAGTCAGTGACATTATGTGGTCATTACTAGGACAAAATAATAGGAGAGTGGAGAGAGACTCTGTGTACTCACGAGCCTCCTGTGCCCACAGTGGACGTGACACTGCAGGGCAAGCAAGCCACGATACAGCAGGAGCCTTTCACAGCTGCTTAATCGGGAACTGATTGAAAATGGTTATCCGGTGTATTTCAGAACGCCGCAAGTGACAAAATAGTAAATTATAAGTATACTACCAGAAAGTGTCAACATAATCTACATAATTATAGAAAACATTTAAGTACCTGATGACACATGACTGCATATTAGTGTCAGGAACAGTGGTAAAAATCAGAGGAGAGTATTTTGAAAGTGTACTTAAAATGTCAAAATTCACATTGGCTTTACTTCAAAACACCTAAAGAAAACAAAATCTTGGAACTGGCATGGAAATGCATGTGGGGAAACACATTATTTGAATTTAGAAAAAGGAAAATAGTTAGGCATTGAAACAATATTATTGAGAGTAGAAATGAGATGATTTGGAAGATTGCTTTTTCAAAGAAATTATATTTCTATCAGGGCAGGTAACATTTACCGTAGAGAAGCATTCTGAATCTTGTTCGTGCTATCAGATGACATATTGTCTGCGTCACTGGAATGGTAAACGTCTCCGAGCGACAATGGAAAGATATCAGTAGCTCTGACATTTATAGCTTAAATAGTCATCAATATTTGGGCAGAAAGACAAGTGCACTGAGATCTCATTTGTTATTGATAAGGACACCTGCTTCTGTGATGTTCCTGCTGCTCGCCTCCCCTTTGGCTACAGTGCACTGCAGCGAGCCCTGAACGACCACAGGAGGCAGCCCCACTGTACCTTCCTTTAGACACCAGGTGGGAAAGGGCCATAAGGGAGTTAGTGGCATCTTGCCCCGAACAAGGAGTCCACGGTACTTGTTCTTACATCTTTCGCCTATCTAGATAAACATTTCCATTCCCTTTTGCTGTCTGCTGAACCTAGCATGAAGGGGAAAGACCTCCACCCACCAGTATTTGCTGGGTCCTAGGCACATTATCTTTGCCGCATCTCTGTGTGTCATTTGCATAACCTTTCATCTAGGTGTGGTTATTACCATGCCCCATCAGGGCAACTCCGAGAGAAGTTGAAACCCCCTGAAGTCACAAATATCAAGTGACAGAGCCAAGGTTTAAGCCCCGCGTATTTAATTCTAGGATGTTTCCCTCATAGGGAATCCCAGGCAAAGTTATAGCATATATCAAGATTAATATATTAGTTTTCTTATATAGTTGTGACAAAATAACTAACAAAAAGAACTCAAGGATGGGTTTATTCTGGCTCATGGGAAGGGATGTGATCCATCGTGGTTGGGGAAGCACAGCATTAGAAATATGAGCTAGCTTGTCACACTGCTTCTGCAGTTGGGAGCAGAGACAGACAGAAAGTGCAGCCAATGCTGTGGCGCATCAAGCCCCACTCCCAGTAACTCTCTTCCGCCAGCAAGGCACCGTACAACTAAGAGTCCCAAACCACTGCCACCAGCAGCAGGTGTATATTTTGGAACAAGTGATCCTATGGGAGCCGTCTCTCATCCTAACCACAACAGTTGCTGCGGCCACTCTTCCTTCTACTTCAGTTAATTCTAGTTTAGTCCTCTACCCTTTCATTAACTAGCCGTTTGGGGTCCACTTAACCCAGGTAATCACAGCGTGCATTATATCCACCACTGTTGTCATTGCTGCTGGTAAAGATCATCATTGCTGTCATTACTGATGATACTTCAGCAATATCTTGGCTAATACTTTTTTTTAGCTCCCTTTAAGCCAGGCATAATGCCAAATACATTGTAGAGACAGTCTTGGGTAATGGTGTCGTTAATATCTTTATTTGTAGATGAAGCAATTAGAATTTAGAGGTTAAATAACTTGCCCTTACGATATTCTTAGCCAAATATCACCCCTCCCCCCCACCAGTGTGCCACACTATTTAGCTCTTGATGCTTTTTCTGGTTAATCACCCTTTTTCTGCATCCTCCGTATACCTTATCAAAGATTAACAAGCTAAATCATTTCCCTGTACTAAAAATTAAGCTAATTAAGTCATAATAATTAGATAGTATTCTAAAATTCATACTTTGTTTGATAAATCTTTC